CTACCTTCTATTTGAGTGAGACCACTAGATTCCGTGTATTATGCGAGATCTCAGCGGTTCCATTCTTCCAGGCATTTGCACTCTAAGTTCCCATTCTGACCGACCTGGCCAATGCACCACTTTCCATATACATATGCATTAGATTCCTTTCGAACCTTATTAGCTCACTAGATTTATATATTTCCCACCTTCTGATCGAGTGAGACTGTTAGATTCCCTCTACTTTTTGAGAAACGAGCGTTTCTGTTCTCCCTGGCCCCACCTGCACTATGAGTGCGAAATGCCGGCCAGACTGGCCGATGCACTATTTTCTCTACACATGTGCGTTAGTTACCTTTCAAACCCTTACGTTCACTAGATGAATTTATTTCCTACCTTCTTTTTGAGTGAAACCACTAGATTCCGTGTATTATGCGAGATCTGAGCGGTTCAGTTCTCCCAGGCATTTGCACTCTAAGTTCCCATACTGACCGACCTGGCCAATGCACCACTTTCCATATACATATGCATTAGATTCCTTCCAAACCTTATTAGCTCACTAGATTTATATATTTCCCACCTTCTGATCGAGAGAGACCGCTAGATTCCCTTTACTTTTTGAGAAATAAGCGTTTCCGTTCTACTTGGCCTTACTTGCACTATAAGTGCGAAATGCCGGCCAGACTGGCCGATGCACAATTTTCTATACACATAAGCGTTAGTTACCTTTCAAACCCTTACGTTCACTAGATGTATATATTTCCTACTTTCTATTTGAGTGAGACCACTTGATTCCGTGTACTATGCGAGATCTGAGCGTTCCGTTCTCCCTGGCATTTGCATTTTAAGTTCCGATACTGACCGACCTGGCCAATGCACCATTTTCTCAATTTATATATTTCCTACCTTATATTTGAGTGAGACCACTAGATTCTGTGTACTATGCGAGATCTGAGCGGTTCTGTTGTCCTAGGCATTTGCACTTTAAGTTCCCATACTGACCGACCTCGCCAATGCACCATTTTCTATATACATGTGCATTAGATGCCTTTCAAACCTTATTAGCTCACTAGATTTATAAAATTCCCACCTTTTGATCAAGTGAGACCGCTAGATTCCCTTTACTTTTTGAGAAATGAGCGTTTTCGTTCTCCTTGGCCCTACTTGCACTATAAGTGCGAAATGCCGGCCAAACTGGCCGATGCACCATTTTCTCTACACATGTGCGTTAGTTACCTTTCAAACCCTTACGTTCACTAGATGAATATATTTCCTACTTTCTATTTGAGTGAGACCACTTGATTCCGTGTACTATGCGAGATCTGAGCGCTTCTGTTCTCCCTAGCATTTGCATTTTTTGTTCCGATACTGACCGACATGGCCAATGCACCATTTTCCATGTACATATGCATTAGATTCCTTTCGAACCTTATTAGCTCACTAGATTTATATATTTCCCACCTTCTGATCGAGTGAGACCGCTAGATTCCCTCTACTTTTTGAGAAACGAGCATTTCCGTTCTCCCTGGCCCCACTTGCACTATAAGTGCAAAATGCCGGCCAGACTGGCCGATGCACCATTTTCTCTACACATGTGCGTTAGTTAACTTTCAGACCCTTACGTTCAATTGATTAATATATTTCCTACCTTATATTTGAGTGAGACCACTAGATTCCGTGTACTATGCGAGATCTGAGCGCTTTCGTTCTCCTAGGAATTTGCACTCTAAGTTCCCATTCTGACCGACCTGACCAATGCACCATTTTGCATATACATATGCATTAGATTCCTTTCCAACCTTTTAGCTCACTAGATATATATATTTCCCACCTTTTGATCGAGTGAGACCGCTAGATTCCCTTAATGTTTTGAGAAATGGGCGTTTCCGTTCTCCTTGGCCCTACTTGCACTATAAGTGCGAAATGCCGGCCAGACTGGCCGATGCACCATTTTCTCTACACATGTGCGTTAGTTAACTTTCAGACCCTTATGTTCAATCGATTAATATATTTCCTACCTTATATTTGAGTGAGACCACTAGATTTCGTGTATTATGCGAGATCTGAGCGGTTCCGTTCTCCCAGGCATTTGCACTCTAAGTTGCCATACTGACCGACCTGGCCAATGCACCACTTTCTATATACATATGCATTAGATTCCTTTCCAACCTATTTAGCTCACTAGATTTATATATTTCCCACCTTCTGATCGAGTGAGACCGCTAGATTCCCTTTACTTTTTGAGAAATGAGCGTTTCCGTTCTCCTTGGCCCTACTTGCACTATAAGTGCGAAATGCCGACCAGACTGGCCGATGCACCATTTTCTCTACACGTGTGTGTTAGTTACCTTTCAAACCCTTACGTTCACTAGATGAATATATTTCCGACTTCTACTTGAGTGAGACCACTTGATTCCGTGTACTATGCGAGATTAGAGCGCTTCCGTTTTCCGTGGCATTTGCATTTTAAGTTCCGATACTGACCGACCTGGCCAATGCACCATTTTCTCTATACGTGTGCGTTGAATACATTTCAAACCTTTTTAGCTGACTAGATTTATATATTTCCCACCTTTTGATCGAGTGAGACCGTTAGATTCCCTTTACTTTTTGAGAAATGAGCGTTTCCGTTCTCCTTGGCCCTACTTGCACTATAAGTGCGAAATGCCGGCCAGACTGGCCGATGCACCATTTTCTCTACACATGTGCGTTAGTTACCTTTCAAATCGTTACGTTCTTTAGATGAATTTATTTCATACCTTATATTTGAGTGAGACCACTAGATTCCGTGTACTATGCGAGATCTGAGCGCTTCCGTTCTCCCTGGCATTTGCACTCTAAGTTCCCATACTGACCGACCTGGCCAATGCACCATTTTCCATATACATTTGCATTAGATTCCTTTCGAACCTTATTAGCTCACTAGATTTATATATTTCCCACCTTCTGATCGAGTGAGACCGCTAGATTCCCTCTACTTTTTGAGAAATGAGCATTTCCGTTCTCCTTGGCCCTAGTTGCACTATAAGTGCGAAATGCCGGCTAGACTGGCCGATGCACCATTTTCTCTACACATGTGCGTTAGTTACCTTTCAAACCCTTACGTTCACTAGATGAATATATTTCCTACTTTCTATTTGAGTGAGACCACTTGATTCCGTGTACTATGCGAGATCTGAGCGCTTCCGTTCTCCCTGGCATTTGCATTTTAAGTTCTGATACTGACCGACCTGGCCAATGCACCATTTTTTCTATACATGTGCATTGAATACATTTCAAACCTTTTTAGCTGACTAGATTTATATATTTCCCACCTTCTGATCGAGTGAGACTGTTAGATTCCCTTTACTTTTTGAGAAATGAGCGTTTCCGTTCTCCTTGGCCCTACTTGCACTATAAGTGCGAAATGCCGGCCAGACTGGCCGATGCACCATTTTCTCTACACATGTGCGTTAGTTACCTTTCAAATCGTTACGTTCTTTAGATGAATTTATTTCCTACCTTATATTTGAGTGAGACCACTAGATTCCGTGTACTATGCGAGATCTGAGCGCTTCCGTTCTCCCTGGCATTTGCACTTTAAGTTCCCATACTGACCGACCTGGCCAATGCACCATTTTCCATATACATTTGCATTAGATTCCTTTCGAACCTTATTAGCTCACTAGATTTATATATTTCCCACCTTCTGATCGAGTGAGACCGCTAGATTCCCTCTACTTTTTGAGAAATGAGCATTTCCGTTCTCCTTGGCCCTAGTTGCACTATAAGTGCGAAATGCCGGCCAGACTGGCCGATGCACAATTTTCTCTACACATGTGCGTTAGTTACCTTTCAAACCCTTACGTTCACTAGATGAATATATTTCCTACTTTCTATTTGAGTGAGACCATTTGATTCCGTGTACTATGCGAGATCTGAGCGCTTCCGTTCTCCCTGGCATTTGCATTTTAAGTTCTGATACTGACCGACCTGGCCAATGCACCATTTTTTCTATACATGTGCATTGAATACATTTCAAACCTTTTTAGCTGACTAGATTTATATATTTCCCACCTTGTGATCGAGTGAGACCGTTAGATTCCCTCTACTTTTTGAGAAACGAGCGTTTCCGTTCTCCCTGGCCCCTCCTGCACTATAAGTGCGAAATGCCAGCCAGACTGGCCGATGCACCATATTATCTACACATGTGCGTTAGTTACCTTTCAAACCCTTACGTTCACTAGATGAATATATTTCCTGCCTTCTATTTGAGTGAGACCACTAGATTCCGTGTATTATGCGAGATCTGAGCGGTTCCGTTCTCCCAGGCATTTGCACTCTAAGTTCCCATACTGACCGACCTGGCCAATGCACCATTTTCCATATACATATGCATTAGATTCCTTTCAAACCTTATTAGCTCACTAGATTTATATATTTCCCACCTTCTGATTGAGTGAGACCGCTAGATTCCCTCTATTTTTTGAGAAATGAGCATTTCCGTTCTCCTTGGCCCTAGTTGCACTATAAGTGCGAAATGCCGGCTAGACTGGCCGATGCACAATTTTCTCTACACATGTGCATTAGTTACCTTTCAAACCCTTACGTTCACTAGATGAATTTATTTCCTACCTTCTATTTGGGTGAGACCACTAGATTCCGTGTACTATGCGAGATCTGAGCGCTTCCGTTCTCCTTGGCATTTGCATTTTAAGTTCCCATACTGACCGACCTGGCCAATGCACCATTTTCCATATACATATGCATTAGATTCCTTTCAAACCTAATTAACTTACTAGATTTATATATTTCCCACCTTCTGATCGAGTGAGACCGCTAGATTCCCTCTACTTTTTGAGAAATGAGCGTTTCCGTTCTCCTTGGCCCTAGTTGCACTATAAGTGCGAAATGCCGGCCAGACTGGCCGATGCACAATTTTCTCTACACATGTGCGTTAGTTCCCTTTCAAACCCTTACGTTCACTAGATGAATATAATTCCTACTTTCTATTTGGGTGAGACCACTTGATTCCGTGTACTATGCGAGATCTGAGCGCTTCCATTCTCCCTGGCATTTGCATCTTAAGTTCCCCCTTGCGCAGCAAGGGTGCTGTCACTGAGGTGCTGATCGACTGGATCCGCGAGGCTCGTCTCCAGCTCAGGAAGAGCTTCGGCTCTGACTTTCCTGTTCTGCGTCTGCACTCGGACAGAGGCGGAGAGTTCTCCTCTCGCCTTCTGCGAGACTACTGTCGTGCACGGGGGATCCGCCAGACCTTCACGCTTCCGGACTCACCACAGCAAAATGGGATTGCTGAGCGCCGCATTGGCATGGTCATGGATGTCGCTCGTACGTCCATGATGCATGCGGCTGCCCCCCATTTTCTGTGGCCGTTTGCGGTGAGGTACGCGGCGCATCAGCTCAACCTTCACCCGCGGGTCTCTAGGCCTGCGATGTCCCCAGCCTTGCTGTGGACGGGGAAGGTTGGCGATGCGTCTGTGTTTCGTGTCTGGGGATCTCGGGCGTTTGTCCGCGACTTGTCTGCGGACAAGCTGTCCCCTCGTGCTGCTCCCTGTGTCTTCCTTGGCTTCCCCACTGACGCCCCAGGGTGGCAGTTCTACCACCCCTCCTCTCGTCGTGTTCTGTCCTCCCAGGACGTCACGTTCGACGAGTCGGTCCCCTTCTACCGTCTCTTCCCCTACCGCACTCCTTCCCTCCCCCCTCCCCCGGACTTCCTTGTGCCGGTTCCCCCCCCGGTAGACCCCCTTCCCCCTCAGGTTCCTGCTCCCTCAGGTGTGTCCCAGGTAGACGCCGTTGACCCGGTCGAGGTTACTGGTGACTCTGGTGCTGCTGCGGGTGCTGAGCCTGGGGGTGCTGACTCTGGGGGTGCTGCCCGCGGGGGTGCTGAGCCTGGAGGAGCTGCTGCTGGGGGTCCTGAGCCTGGGGGTGCTAGTGCGGAGGGTGCGGAGCCTAGGAGTGCTGCGCCGGGGGGTGCTGTCACTAGAGGTGCTGGGTCAGGGGGTGCTGAGTCGGGAGCTGCTGAGCCTGGGGGTGCTGAGTTGGGAGCTGCTGCGCCTGGGGGTGCTGTGTCTGGAGCTGCTGAGCCTGGGGGTGCTGCGTCTGGAGCTACTTCGCCTGGGGTTTCTCCTGCTGCTCAGCCTCCCCGGGAGCCTCTCTCTCCACACGAGCTGCGCGAGTGGTTCGCTCGTCGTTGGAGGCGTGCTGCTGAGTCTGGGGGTGCTGCTGGAGCTGGAGCTGGACCTTCTTCGACTGACGAGGGTGCTGGTGCTGCCGGTCCCGGAGCTGCTGGGCCTGCGGGCCCTCTTGGGGCTGGCGCTGCTGAGGGTGTTGGTGCTGAGACTGCTGCTGTTGGTCCTGCTGCTGGAGGAGTTGGTGGCCCTGGTGCTGTCGCTGAGGGTGCTGGAGCTGTCCTTGCTGCGCCTCGAGCTGCTGAGCGGCCTCGACCGTACTTCGTTCCGCTCCTGCAGCAGGTTCTTGGTCTTTCTCCTCCGGTAGAGAGTCCACCGCCTGTCCAGTCACAGTCCCTGCTGGAGCCTTCCTCTCCGCTACCTGCTCCCTCTCCTTACACTGGTCCTACTGGAGGTCTTGCTGGACGTCGTGAGCCTGCGTCTCGTCCTACGTCGCCTGTTCGTCCTGCTCGCGCTACTGGTCGCGGTTCGCGTCAGCGTCCTCCTCCTGTCCCTGGCACGCACCAGATGTCTTTGCGTCCGTCCACTGCTCCTCTGCGTGCCCCTTTGCCTTCTCCTCCTGCGTCCTCTCTTCCTGCGCTTGCCGACCCTGCGTCGGACTCTCTGCGTGCTGCCAGTCCTACTGTCACGCGTTTCCTTGCTACTGTGGTCACTGACCCTTCTTTCGAGTCTTCTGCTGCGTCTGCCCTACTCACTGAGCTTGTCGACTTTGCTGCTCGCTGTCGCTTAGACTACGCTGCTAGTCTTGTTGCTGAGTCTGCGTCTGTCTGTCCTCCGTCCGTCGGGGGTGAGTGTGCTCTTGGCACGGACGTCCTAGAGGACAGGCAGGAGGAGTTGCAGTGTCTAGCGGCTGCTTCACCTCATCTCGCGTCTGTACTGCTTGCCCCTGAGGGAGACCCGGATGCACTAGACATCCCGACTCCGCGTTCTTACGCGGAGGCTGTAGAGGGTCCCTACTCCTCTCAGTGGCAGGCAGCTATGGATGCAGAGATGGCTTCCTGGAAGTCCACAGGCACCTACGTTGGCGCAGTTCCCCCTCCTCGGGCGAACATCGTCAGTGCCATGTGGATCTTCAGGGTGAAGCAGCCGCCGGGCTCTCCGCCTGTCTTCAAGGCGCGTTACGTCGCTCGTGGCTTCAGTCAGCGGCAGGGAGTTGACTACTTTCAGACCTTCTCTCCCACTCCGAAGATGACCACTCTTCGGGTGCTGCTGCACGTTGCCGCTCAGCGCGACTACGAGCTTCACTCTCTCGACTTCAGCAATGCGTTCCTGCAGGGTAGCCTGCACGAGGAGATCTGGCTGCGCCGTCCGCCTGGCTTCACTGGGACTTTCCCTCCTGGCACCCAGTGGAGCCTCCGACGGCCAGTCTACGGTCTCCGCCAGGCACCGCGTGAGTGGCACGACACACTGAGGACTACGCTTGCGGCTCTTGGGTTTGCTCCTTCCACTGCTGACCCGTCGCTGTTTCTTCGCACCGACACTTCCTTGCCGCCGTTCTACATCCTCGTGTACGTAGACGACTTGGTCTTTGCCACAGCGGACACTGCTGGACTCGCCTACGTGAAGTCCGAGCTGCTGAAGAGACACACGTGCACAGACCTGGGTGAACTGCGCAGCTACCTTGGCTTGCAGATCACTCGGGACAGAGCACGCCGCACCATTACCCTGACTCAGTCACACATGGTGCAGCAGGTCCTTCAGCGCTTCGGCTTCACGTACTCCTCGCCTCAGGCCACTCCTCTGCCTACTCGCCACTCGCTCTCAGCTCTGCCTTCGGATGAGTCCGTAGAGTCGAGTGGCCCGTATGCAGAGCTTGTTGGCTGCCTCATGTACCTGATGACCTGCACACGACCTGACCTTGCATACCCTCTGAGCATCCTTGCACGCTATGTTGCTCCTCGGAGACACCGACCTGAGCACATGGCTGCAGCGAAGAGGGTATTGCGCTACCTGTGCAGTACGTCGGGCATGGGGCTAGTGCTTGGAGGGCGGAGTCCAGTGGTCCTTACGGGCCACGCGGACGCTTCTTGGGCTGACGACCAGGCTACGCAGCGGTCGTCACAGGGTTACACCTTCAGCCTTGGTTCCGGCTCTGTCTCGTGGCGGTCTACTCGCTCGTCTTCGGTTCTCGGCTCCAGTTGTGAGGCTGAGATCTACGCCGGGGCCATGGCTGCGCAGGAGCTTCGCTGGCTCACCTACCTGCTGACTGACCTTGGAGAGCCGCCTCGTTCTCCTCCAGTGCTGTACGTAGACAACAAGGCCATGCTGGCCTTGTGTCGAGAGCAGCGTCTGGAGCACAGAACGAAGCACATTGCTCTCCGCTACTTCCTTGCTCGTGAGCTGCAGCAGCGTGGTCAGCTGCGACTTGCGTACGTGGCCTCTGAGGCCAACACTGCTGATGTGTTCACCAAGGCACTCGCGCCTTGTGACCATCAGCGCTTCTGTACCCAGCTGGGTCTTGTGCCTGTCTTGCCTCACTTGCTCTCTTCCTGACTTCACTTGTACTGTGACATATATATATACCTGCTCTTGCTTGTCTAGTATTATATATATGTCTGTACTCCTGCATGTGAACTGGCCTCTGGCCCTGCTCTTGTGCTCGGACTGTGTGGTGACTTTGTGATCCACCCTGAGCTTGCTTTGCTTTGCTTGACTGGTCTTGTGACCCCTTGTTCTCCCCCACTTTGCCTATGGGGGTGTGTCAGAACATTATAGCTGATACATGTTTGTAGGCTATAGTGGGGTAGCACATATGGGGTACAGATTCCTAGGGTTTGTTATTTGTACCAATTTGTGACTTAGTCATTTCATTCCTCTTCTCATTGTTTCACAATAGCGTGTGCAAAATAAAAAGAACAAGGGCCTAGCGTGTGCAAAATAAAAAGAACAAGGGCCTAGCGTGTGCAAAATTACAAGAACAAGGGCCTAGCGTGTGCAAAATTGCAAAAACAAGGGCATAGCGAGGGCAAAATAGCAAGAGCAAGGGCCTAGCGTGTGCAAAAAATCAAGAACAAGGGCCTAGCGTGTGCAAGATTGCAAGAACAAGGGCGTAACGTGTGCAAAATTGCAAGAACAAGGGCCTAGCGAGTGCAAAATAGCAAGAGCAAGGGCCTAGCGTGAGCAAAAAATCAAGAACAAGGGCCTAGCGTTCGCGAAATAGCAAGAACAAGGGCCTAGCGTGTGCAAAATAAAAAGAACATAGGCCTAGCATGTGCAAAATTGCAAGAACAGGGGCCTAGCATGTGCAAAATAAAAAGAACAAGGGCATAGCATGTGCAAAATAAAAAGAACAAGGGCATAGCTGTTGACTACTATTGGGATCTAGAAACTCTTAAGCACACCTTTAATACACTCTAGGTAGTCCCCACGGGGTCACCTCCAAGGGTCCTCGGGTGCCTGGCAACGCCAGCCCCTAACCAAGGGTCCGTGTTTGTAGAGGGATTTTCCTTAGTGTGAAAACGGTCGTGTGCACTAAGAGCATTCCCAAGCTCAATTGCGCAGCGTTGACGAACGATATGTGCGTGTGCAGAAAAGCTCCTCGCGTCAATACGTCGATAGAGCAATTTTCATTCACCAAAGGATTGATTACAACTTCGCACAAGCATGCAAATATAGTTCGCCTAACACACATGCAAAGGAAAATAGCAAACGGTTGATTAACTGCATTTCTAGGACTTCGCCTTGCTGTCTCGAAAAACGGTTGCCAAACTTCTGCTCCATTTGGCTTGATCCGAGTCCTTGAAATAACTGTCGTCAAGTTACATGTCTGCCAATTGCCCCTGCTGACTCCTCTCGCGAACGTTCATGTACGCACAAGTAGAATCATGAACGCTCGTGTGGGAATTCCCGTTTTCCCACTGTTTACAGTTGTAAAACGGATATTTCCGTTTTGTACCTGTAATTCGAACTGTTCTGTTAGGCGCGCTGCTTTCTCGCGAAAGTTCTATGTGCCACGTCACAAAAAGACACGCTCGAGATTCAGTTTTACAACTGAAATCTCGAGTGAATCCCGAGCACCCCTCGGGATCTCTCGGCACCTCTCGCAACCCACGCGCACCCCTGAGGGCGCGCCGTCCTGACGTGGGCAGGGCGATAATTATCGCCCTGTCTTGTAGCGATCGTGGGCCTTGCCACGCTTGCTACAGTTCGTAGGCACAAGCGCGGGCACTGTGAGGCCACACGCGAAATCAGGACCCACGCGCGGTCCTGATTCTCTCGTGATTCTCGCTTGACCAGCGCGAGATATTTCGAGGGGCACAAAACACTCTCACTCCCCTCATGAACACAAGAACCAAAACAGAAACAAACATGAATGAAACACAAACAGATGAGCAAACATGAACGCATATGAGCGAACATGTAAACACATGAACGCTCATGAAGCTTGCACGAACAGCACGCGAATTGACATGAACGCGCGAAGGCTCATGAAAGCACATGATCACTCGGAGCTTCACGCACATTCATGACACGACACAAACAACACGAAATTCACACGAACAATCATGAAAACGCATGAATGGAACCTCACACAAAAATGCACATAACTTATGAACCGCTAAGGCGATTCATAAACCGTAAACGCCAGAATGAAAATCACACAAATGCACATTCCACACCATACAAAATACCTCAAAACAAATACCCTCAAATTTCACATCGCTCGACGAAAAGGCGACAGGTTGACGTGCAAAATACGTTTTGCACCCAACAAACTCCCCCTCAACCTGACGGCTATTCAACTCCCTCTACCATCTCCTCAATGTCGACCGGCTCTGCTATGTTGCCGATCCCGACTCTAGTTTTAGGGAAGGTAATCTTATGCTCCCCCACACTTTCAGCTCCAATGTCATTGGTTGCTTGCAGCTTCACATAGGTAGTACCGTTACCACCCAAGGTAATTTCCGCTTCCTGCAAGGTCCGCTTCACCTCAGGTTCCCCCATCACCAGAGTCCCATCATCTGCAATACTTGTCACATTCAGCTCCATTATTTTCTCCTTCATAGCTGCATCCTTCAGCTGCACCGAGACCTCACATTTTTGCTGCTCACGAGTATCACTCTTGTGAACTCCCTTCTCCTTGTTCACAGCAGCGCCTTTCACTTCACTCCCCCTGGATTCTGCACCCGTCTTCCTATCAGCACCGGATGCACCTTTCTTTTCAGCTGCTGCCAGTCGAGCTTTGACTTGGTGCAACTCCTGCACTAGCAGCTCCACAGTGGTTTTCAGCTCCTTAATCGTCCCAGCAGCCGCCGCAGCACATTCTCCCTTGCAGCCGCAACTCCCCTTCTCCTTCTCAGGTGCCACCTCACTCCATGGAACCACCGGCACTTGCCACAGCTCATCACGAAGATCCTTGGCCTCATGCAGGTCCCACAGCACACGGTCACCGAGCTGCCCCTTGAAGGTTTCAGCTCCATTAGTTGCTGTACACACGCCTGCAAGCCCCATCTTCCTAAGGGAAATCAGATTCCCTTTCAGCTCCGGCACCAAAAGCACATCTTCTAGGACGACCGGCTTCCCATCAGCTCCCTTGAAGGCTGCTTTGCCGACGCCCATCACTCTCATCTTGTGCCCGCTCCCTGAATTCATCTCATTGATGCTCGCCACACCAATTTTGTCTAGCAGGTCCGCCCTTGGGGTCATATGATAAGCTGCTCCGGAGTCTAGGATCCATGTGTTGAGGGGATGAGGCTCTGCTCCCTCCTTGGCAGACGCCTTCTCATTTCCCCTACTCCCTTGCACGTGGAAGAACTGTCCAGGAGCACGCTCATAACCGTCTTCCCGTTCATTTGCGGTCTCTGCTACATAACCAACGCCATGAGGTTGGTTCTTCTCGCCATCCTCATGCTCGGGAGTCCACCACTTGGGCCGCTTCCAGCACTTCACCCAAGTATGTCCCGGCTTCTTGCAATACCAGCAGGTGCCCTTGAATCCGCGGTAGCCACTCTCGTCATTCTCGTTAGTAGCCTCTTCTTCATCATCACTCCTGCTGCTCGGCTTCTTGTTGTCTCGTCCGCTTCCATGATGTCTTCGTTCACCACGTCCCCGGTCATTCCCCTTGCGCCATCTACTACCTTGCATGCCATAGCCGCCATCGCCGTCTTGGTTGTAGTTCAGCTGCCTCCTCCTGAAGTCCTCCTCCAAGACCTTGGTTCGCACCCACTCAAGGGTCCAGAACTTCTCATTCTGAGGAAGGCTTAGGCCACTCGTGAATTGCAGCCATGACTCGGGCAGCAGTGATAGCATTCGTAGACACTTTGTTTGCTCCGGGTAGGTGATGCCCGCAATCTGCAATTTCGCGTACAGCTCCCGCATCTTGTCGAGAACCGGTTGAATCGGCTCCCCCTCACTCAGGCGCAATGCCGCCAACTTACGCTCCAGCATGAGCGTTGTAACCACCGAGGTTGGCGCGTGCAGCTCCTTTAACACCTTCCAAGCTCGTGGTCCACAATCCTCCATTTCCAGCAGATGCATCACGTGCGATCTCTGGTTCAGCTCCAAACTTTGCGATAGAAGGTAGTGGCCGGCGGTAGAGCGCTCATCCCACTCCTCTTACAGGTTAGCGTCGTCCGGCCTCTTCTCCTCGCCCGTCATCAGCTTCAACAAGCCGACTTGCCGAAAATACAGCTGCATTTTCCACGCCCAATCGTCGTAGTTGTTGCCGTTGAACTTGTCGACAACGAAGTTCTTCAACACCTCCTTTAATAGGGAGCCCTGGCCGACCCGCATTCTCCTTGGTGCTGAGTCACCAGTTTCCTTGACTCCACTATCAGCTCGTGCAAGAGAACCTTCGTTTCCGCTCGACTCCATGTTGTTCTAACGGCGAGACGTCCAATCCTCAGCTCTGATACCACGTGTTGACTACTATTGGGATCTAGAAACTCTTAAGCACACCTTTAATACACTCTAGGTAGTCCCCACGGGGTCACCTCCAAGGGTCCTCGGGTGCCTGGCAACGCCAGCCCCTAACCAAGGGTCCGTGTTTGTAGAGGGATTTTCCTTAGTGTGAAAACGGTCGTGTGCACTAAGAGCATTCCCAAGCTCAATTGCGCAGCGTTGACGAACGATATGTGCGTGTGCAGAAAAGCTCCTCGCGTCAATACGTCGATAGAGCAATTTTCATTCACCAAAGGATTGATTACAACTTCGCACAAGCATGCAAATATAGTTCGCCTAACACACATGCAAAGGAAAATAGCAAACGGTTGATTAACTGCATTTCTAGGACTTCGCCTTGCTGTCTCGAAAAACGGTTGCCAAACTTCTGCTCCATTTGGCTTGATCCGAGTCCTTGAAATAACTGTCGTCAAGTTACATGTCTGCCAATTGCCCCTGCTGACTCCTCTCGCGAACGTTCATGTACGCACAAGTAGAATCATGAACGCTCGTGTGGGAATTCCCGTTTTCCCACTGTTTACAGTTGTAAAACGGATATTTCCGTTTTGTACCTGTAATTCGAACTGTTCTGTTAGGCGCGCTGCTTTCTCGCGAAAGTTCTATGTGCCACGTCACAAAAAGACACGCTCGAGATTCAGTTTTACAACTGAAATCTCGAGTGAATCCCGAGCACCCCTCGGGATCTCTCGGCACCTCTCGCAACCCACGCGCACCCCTGAGGGCGCGCCGTCCTGACGTGGGCAGGGCGATAATTATCGCCCTGTCTTGTAGCGATCGTGGGCCTTGCCACGCTTGCTACAGTTCGTAGGCACAAGCGCGGGCACTGTGAGGCCACACGCGAAATCAGGACCCACGCGCGGTCCTGATTCTCTCGTGATTCTCGCTTGACCAGCGCGAGATATTTCGAGGGGCACAAAACACTCTCACTCCCCTCATGAACACAAGAACCAAAACAGAAACAAACATGAATGAAACACAAACAGATGAGCAAACATGAACGCATATGAGCGAACATGTAAACACATGAACGCTCATGAAGCTTGCACGAACAGCACGCGAATTGACATGAACGCGCGAAGGCTCATGAAAGCACATGATCACTCGGAGCTTCACGCACATTCATGACACGACACAAACAACACGAAATTCACACGAACAATCATGAAAACGCATGAATGGAACCTCACACAAAAATGCACATAACTTATGAACCGCTAAGGCGATTCATAAACCGTAAACGCCAGAATGAAAATCACACAAATGCACATTCCACACCATACAAAATACCTCAAAACAAATACCCTCAAATTTCACATCGCTCGACGAAAAGGCGACAGGTTGACGTGCAAAATACGTTTTGCACCCAACAATAGCGTGTGCAAAATAAAAAGAACAAGGGCCTAGCGTGTGCAAAAAAAAAAGAACAAGAGCCTAGCGTGCGCAAAATTGCAAGAACAAGGGCCTAGCGTGTGCAAAATTGCAAGAACAAGGGCCTAGCGAGTGCAAAATAGCAAGAGCAAGGGCCTAGCGTGTGCAAAAAATCAAGAACAAGGGCCTAGCATTCGTGAAGCTGCAAAAACAAGGGCCTAGCGTATGCAAAATGAAAAGAACAAGGGTCTAGCATGTGCAAATATGCAAGAACAAGGGCCTAGCGTGTGCAACATAAAAAGAACAAGGGCATAGCGTGTGCAAAATAACAAGAACAAGGGCCTAGCGTGTGCAAAATAAAAAGAACAAAGGCCTAGCGTGTGCAAAACAAAAAGAACAAGGGCCTAGCATTTGCAAAATTGCAAGAACAAGGGCCTAGCATGTGCAAAATTGCAAGAACAAGGGCTTAGCGAGTGCAAAATAGCAAGAGCAAGGGCCTAGCGTGTGCAAAAAATCAAGAACAAGGGCCTAGCGTTCGCGAAGTAGCAAGAACAAGGGCCTAGCGTGTGCAAAATAAAAGAACAAGGGTCTAGCATATGCAAAATTGCAAGAACAAGGGCCTAGCGTGTGCAAAATAAAAAGAACAAGGGCATAACGTGTGCAAAATAGCAAGAACAAGGGCCTAGCGTGTGCAAAATAAAAAGAACAAGGGCCTAGCGTGTGCAAAATAGCAAGAACAAGGGCCTAGCATGTGCAAAATTGCAAGAACAAGGGCCTAGCGTGTGCAAAATTGCAAGAACAAGGGCCTAGCGAGTGCAAAATAGCAAGAGCAAGGGCCTAGCGTGTGCAAAATAAAAAGAACAAGGGCATAGCGTGTGCAAAATAGCAAGAACAAAGGCCTAGCGTGTGCAAAATAAAAAGAACAAGGGCCTAGCGTGTGCAAAATAAAAAGAACAAGGGCCTAGCGTGTGCAAAATTGCAAGAACAAGGGCCTAACGTGTGCAAAATTGCAAGAACAAGGGCCTAGCGAGTGCAAAATAGCAAGAGCAAGGGCCTAGCGTGTGCCAAAAATCAAGAACAAGGGCCTAGCGTTCGCGAAATAGCAAGAACAAGGGCCTAGCGTGTGCAAAATAAAAAGAACAAGGGTCTAGCATGTGCAAAATTGCAAGAACAAGGGCCTAGCATGTGCAAAATAAAAAGAACACGGGCATAGCGTGTACAAAATAAAAAGAACAAGGGCATAGCGTGTGCAAAAAAAAAAGAACAAGGGCCTAGCGTGTGCAAAATAAAAATAACAAGGGCCTAGCGTGTGCAAAATTGCAAGAACAAGGGCCTGGCGTGTGCAAAATTGCAAGAACAAAGGCCTAGCGAGTGCAAAATAACAAGAGCAAGGGCCTAGCGTGTGCAAAAAAACAAGAACAAGGGCCTAGCGTTCGCGAAATTGCAAGAACAAGGTCCTAGCGTGTGCAAAATGAAAAGAACAAGGGTCTAGCATGTGCAAAAATGCAAGAACAAGGGCCTAGCGTGTGCAAAAAAAAAAACAAGGGCATAGCGTGTGCAAAATAGCAAGAACAAGGGCCTTGCGTGTGCAAAATAAAAAGAACAAGGGCCTAGCGTGTGCAAAATAAAAAGAACAAGGGCCTAGCGTTTGCAAAATTGCAAGAACAAGGACCTAGCATGTGCAAAATTGCAAGAACAAGGGCTAAGCGAGTGCAAAATAGCAAGAGCAAGGGCCTAGCGTGTGCAAAAAATCAAGAACAAGGGCCTAGCGTTTGCGAAATAGCAAGAACAAGGGCCTAGCGTGTGCAAAATAAAAAGAACAAGGGTCTACCATGTGCAAAATTGCAAGAAGAAGGGACTAGCGTGTGCAAAATAAAAAGAACAAGGGCCTAGCGTGTGCAAAATAGCAAGAACAAGGGCCTAGCGTGTGCAAAATTGCAAGAACAAAGGCCTAGCGTGTGCAAAATTGCAAGAACAAGGGCCTAGCGTGTGCAAAATAGCAAGAGCAAGGGCCTAGCGAGTGCAAAAAATCAAGAACAAGGGCCTAGCGTTCGCGAAATAGCAAGAGGAAGGGCCTATCGTGTGCAAAATAAAAAGAACAAGGGTCTAGCATGTGCAAAATTGCAAGAACAAGGGCCTAGCGTGTGCAAAATAAAAAGAACAAGGGCATAGCGTGTGCAAAATTGCAAGAACAAGGGCCTAGCATGTGCAAAATATAAGAACAAGGGCCTAGCGTGTGCAAAATAAAAAGAACAAGGGCCTAGCGTGTGCAAAATTGCAAGAACAAGGGCCTAGCGTGTGCAAAATTTCAAGAACAAGGGCCTAGCGAGTGCAAAATAGCAAGAGCAAGGGCCTAGCGTGTGCAAAAAATCAAGAACAAGGGCCTAGCGTGTGCAAAATAAATAGAACAAGGGTCTAGCATTTGCAAAATTGCAAGAACAAAGGCCTAGCGTGTGCAAAATAAAAAGAACAAGGGCATAGCATGTGCAAAATAGCAAGAACAAGGGCCTAGCGTGTGCAAAATAAAAAGAACAAGGGCTTAGCGAGTGCAAAATAGCAAGAGCAAGGGCCTAGCGTGTGCAAAAAATCAAGCACAAGGGCCTAGCGTTTGCGAAATAGCAATAACAAGGGCCTAGCGTGTGCAAAATAAAAAGAACAAGGGTCTACTATGTGCAAAATTGCAAGAAGAAGGGCCTAGCGTGTACAAAATAAAAAGAACAAGGGCCTAGCGTGTGCAAAAAAGCAAGAACAAGGGCCTAGCGTGTGCAAAATTGCAAGAACAAGGGCCTAGCGTGTGCAAAATTGCAATAACAAGGGCCTAGCGTGTGCAAAATAGCAAGAGCAAGGGCCTAGCGTGTGCAAAAAATCAAGAACAAGGGCCTAGCGTTCGCGAAATAGCAAGAACAAGGGCCTAGCGTGTGCAAAATAAAAAGAACAAGGGTCTAGCATGTGCAAAATTGCAAGAACAAGGGCCTAGCGTGTGCAAAATAAAAAGAACAAGGGCATAGCGTGTGCAAAATAGCAAGAACAAGGGCCTAGCATGTGCAAAATATAAGAACAAGGGCCTAGCGTGTGCAAAATAAAAAGAACAAGGGCCTAGCGTGTGCAAAATAAAAAGAACAAGGGCCTAGCGTGTGCAAAATTGCAAGAACAAGGGCCTAGCATGTGCAAAATTGCAAGAACAAGGGCCTAGTGAGTGCAAAATAGCAAGAGCAAGGGCCTAGCGTGTGCAAAATAAAAAGAACAAGGGTCTAGCATGTGCAAAATTGCAAGAACAAGGGCCTAGCGTGAGCAAAATAAAAAGAACAAGGGCATAGCGTGTGCAAGATAGCAAGAACAAGGGCCTAGCTTGTGCAAAATAAAAAGAACAAGGGCCTAGCGTGTGCAAAATAAAAAGAAGGGCCTAGCATGTGCAAAATTGCAAGAACAAGGGCCTAACGTGTGCAAAATTGCAAGAACAAGGG